ACAGTATTCACTTCTATTAGCCACAATGATAATAAACGTCTACACCGAATAATTTTACAACGTGATGAAAAATGAATGTAACTGTTTTATTTCGACAGACCCTGGAGTCTTAGTGTATTCATATCTTCTCTAATATTCAAACCTGACTGAGATTTGTCAGTGAATTTCATAGTTCAAACAAAGTTACATCATTAAAATGATTTGAATTTGGTGTTAAATCTTGGATCATTGCGCGCACACAGTTTCCTCAAGCCAGTTATAGAAAAGAAGTTAGTTAATGTTGATTAATGTTCACCAGTTGACGGGAGTGAGAATTTACAAGTGAGTAGAGTGTAAACCACCAGCTAAATAATCTTCAAGTCAATATGAAGCTTCCAGATTCTATTCCTAATGGGGTTGTGAGAGTTCCGAACTAAGGTAAAACAGCTGTTCAGTGCTCTTTGATTTCCAATGATTCTTTTCTTGATGGTAATTTTCAATGAAATTTCCTTCATAAATATAAGTTACACGGATGAAAATTGTATTTGAGATGAAAAAAATATTGTCTTTTAGAGATACATTTCAAATCATTTTATCACACGTCTAACTATAAAATCACTTCATTCAGAAATAGAAGAGAACACAGGGACAAGTAAACAGATATTTGTAGGAAGCAAATACGATAGTGACAGATTTAACCTTAGAAATGGTATTGAAGAGAAGAATGGTAAATTAAAGAAGTTTAAATTAAAAGGCATCAGACTGAGGAAATTATCAGTCTGAGTTGAAAATATTCGATTAATGAATTAGCTTGCAAATTTCAGAAAGAATCCTTCAAAACATCTAAATGAAAAATGTTTAGGTTTCATTTTTTGCGGTGCATAACGATAAAAAATTTGATCTCACTCACAACACTCAGAGTGTCTGATTTCATCCCTGATTCAAACTTTATCAGTGCATGAAACATCATCTTCTCTTTAGCACGGCAATTTCTTTTCCATTCAAATGTGTTCACAAATATGCAAACTTAAACACACGGTGAGACGTCACCTGATGATATGTTAGGTATTAAGGTTTGTCGATCAGCATGTTTTATATTCAGCAGCACCCTACCAGGAATCGAATCCAGAATATTTAGGCTACTAGCCGAGTCTTCCAACCATTCACATTTCGGCATGAAATCATACAGTCTATGAATCATGACAACTCTCATTTCGCCATACGGAACTAGTGCAATCTATCGAGCTGAGTGTGAATTGGATTGCCCTTGATGTCACGATTTCACGGGTTGATAGGAGTTAGAATTCATAAACTATTGTACTCCAAGCTTATGCATGAACGGTCAGCTGGCTCAGATGCTAAACTGAGGGTCGTGGATTTGATTTCTGATTGGATTGTGGAAATTTACTTCTGAAGAGCCCGTAAATAGAATGAAACAGCTTTCTACTGCTGCAAGATTCTCGATAGTTTTTAAAGAAATCTACAGAGGAAATAGTTGAAATTCCCATTAACTTAAAATTTAAACATATCCTAGTGTTCAGCAATTTTAGTCTGTATTACGAAATTCTACTTCTTCATGACATTGGCTTCAACAGTGACTAACTTTCAAATAATCACAAATTATTATATTTTTCATCTACACGTCTTCTAGACCAATATCAAATTTACTGTTAACAAATTAACGTATAATCAATTAATTTCTAGGAGAAGGGTGACAGAATCCGTTTGACCGCTTTTAAAATAATCCTACGTGATTGTAAAAGACATTAAGATACGCATTTTCAGGAAAAAAGGTGATTAATAACTGTTTACCTGAAAATAACCTCCATCATTTATCCCAT